TGCCTTGTTCCCCCCGCCCGGAGCCTGGGGCTGGCGGCTGCCTGCCTGCCCGTTCCCGGAGGGCCACCTGGGCAGCTCAGGGTGCTCGGTGCCACCAGAGGGCTGCCACGGGCCCTGGGAGCACGCAACTTCCCAGCAAAGGTGCCTTGAGGCGTACTGCAGGCTACCAGGGTATATACATATATATGTGCCTTCGGTAGCCTCTTTCACCCTCGATGCTCAGAACAGGTGAAGGAGTGACATTGAGGGACCTCTTCTGACTTTGTACTTCTCGCTCTACTCTACAGTCTACTGAGACTGTAGAAAGGAGACTGAGGTTCAAGAATAAGGAAGAGGCATGAAGGAGATACTGAGCTGGGGGCTAGAGTATAGTGAGAGAGCAAGAGGGATGTGCCCTGACTCAGGAGAGAGGTTTAAATATTTCTTTCAACTGGTAGTTGTGTGTGATGTTTTTAAGTCTGCCGTGTGTGGTTGTTCCCTCTCTTAATTCGTTCAAATAACGTTCAGATAATTGTAGCTTGGCTTCTATAGAGCATTATTTGAGGGGAAAACGCATGCTTTAGCAACAAAAAAATTTGCAGAGGAACCGGTGGTGCACACAGTTCTGTGCCTGAAGTCTACACGTGAGGTTCCTTGTAAATGACCGCACTGAGGAGCGTGCTGTCGCTGCAGTAGCTAATCCTGCAAATCTCTGCAATGTCTCTTGACAGCACTTAGAATGCTGTTCTGCAGGTTACCGTGGTTGCTATGCTTGTGTCAACAGATTCGATGAACAGCTTTGAAGTCACTGTTTAAAACCTGTATTTAGAGAGGAGGCTAATGTTGAAGATCAGGACTGAAGCGTGTTCGAATTTGGAATACTTAGTGAATGAACACTGAAAGGAGGAAAGAGCCACTGAGGTCCTTTAAATGGAAGCTCTGTACTTCAGCCTTCTGCAAACAGTCTTTATAAATGTACCTGCAGATGTTTGTCTTATTCTTGTGGAAAATGGTGTGTGGATTATAATGAGAAATAACTCTTTGAAGCGCTCTCTGTTTTTTAAGGAAGGGTATCTGCCGTTTGTCTAGACAATTATCACCTTCCTATAAGCTCAGTGATAAGATTGCCATTTACTCAGGAAGGGCTCAGATGTCTTTAAATGTGAACGTATTTCAGCGCTCGCAGTAAACATGGGAAAAAATCTTGTAATGGAAGTGTCATTTTGTTGAATTTGACATTTGGGAAAATGAGACATTTGCCAAATGTTGTAACCTTTTAGAATGGAGTGCTTTCATTTTCCTGTTTTGAAGTTACTTCTCCCAGTAACTCATATTTTCATATTCTAATATATATTTGATCCAATACTGAAATTCAAATGAACATTTTCAGTTTCAGTTTTAGGAGAAGAACTAAGAAGGTATTTTGTGGAGTGAAAGACTTCAATGTGAAAGTTTCCCTTAAGGACAAATAACTTGTGTGAAGGCCTAATGAAAGAGTAACCTAATTGCAGTCAACAAATTATCATCAATGAGTATATTCATGAATATAAAATGTTTTGTACAGTATTATTTAATAATTCTGTTATGCAAAGAGCAGTCAGTCCAAGTAACTTTCAAAACGGGAGTGGTGGGGGGGAACACCAACAAATTCCATCTGTTACATTGTACTCCACAAATTAGTTCCTGCAGCTCTGAAACGCTGGTGGTCCTTGATTGCCAGGATGTGAGGGAGTTTGGTGCTTTGACAAAGATTCCTATGCAAACTGAAAAATATTTAATATTTTAGGCTGTGAGTTTTGCTCTGCAGTGTTGCTGATTCTTATCCACCTTCTGAATTGTTGAATAAACTGCTGAAAAGCTCATGTTTTAAGAAATAGAGTGAATATTGCTCAATGTGGAACTTGGACATCAGTTATTTTTTGGAATGTAAGGTAATCATGTGCCTCCAATTTTTTTTTTTTTTTTAAGTGTTAAATGATGTTCCCTCCAGTGTTATAAGAGCTCTTATTTTTCTCCAGGAGACAGATGAAGAGAAACGTCACAAAATTGCCAATGAACTTCTGCATACAGAAAAAGCCTATGTTAGCCGACTTGACCTCCTAGATCAGGTAAATTTTCCTTGAATTTGTTTTGATTTTCTTACTTTGAGTTCACTTGAACATCTATGCATGTATGTGTGGATATAAATTACATAAAAGGGGTGGTGTGATTTGCACGTTTTGCTGACACTGCCAGCCACTTGTTTGCAGTTGCCACATAAACTTGCTTATTTTTTTATTTTAAGAACACTAAATTCTAAAAAGTGTATTAGCATTTTATGGGTAGTAACAGAGTATCGTTTGTGAGTGTGTGTGTGTGTGTAAATTTTACCATGAGCAGCAGTAGTGCAAACTTTATACACGTGCGGCTACAATTCCCTTCTCTAACGTAGTGGCCCTTCCAGCAAAGGGGATGGATAATGCTATGCTCACTCCTTTCTTGACTTCACAAGGAAGGTATCATATTTTATAATTTTGAAATCATCTGTCCACTAGGGATTTACTAAATCTTTCACATTTGAGCCACCTGCACAGAATTTTTTCATTAGTGTCAAAGAACCTGGAAGGTGCACATTTGAAACGGCATATGCCCTATTTTCTCACTGTCCATTTAGTAGGACTAAATCCTACTAAAGCGAGCAGAAATTACTCTTCCTGCAAGTCAAGGGTTGAATTCTGGTGCTCTGAAGAATCAAACTGCTGTTTCTGAAATGTAAAACAGTCTGTAGTTCTTGAATATCCTTTCAAGACTTCATCACTTTCTCACATAATACCTATCCATTTTACTTAGATACCTAGGATACATTGCCTTCCTCCGTGACAGTTTTCTCAGGCATCACTGTTTATTTTAGAGTTTCTCAGGTCTAAAAGTTTGTACACAGGAGTTGAGAAAGAAATAAAAAGTCTCAGCCAATTGTTACATTAATTGTTGAGACTGCTTGCAGACCTCAGTAATAGTCCTTATGAAAGTGGATTTACCTAGCTGACCCACATTAGTAAGGACATGTGTGTTTTAGAAGGCCAAGTATTGCAAACAGTAGCTTTGCTTTAGAGACATAAAAATAAATAAATTATGATGGAAAATGTTTACTTCATTTATAAGTTTTTTCTAATAGGCTACATGGAAGTCTTTTCCTTGATTCAATCATAAGTGCCTTTGTGTATGCCTGGTTTTCAAATATTACCTGGACAGAGTTCTGAGAAATCAGTCTGAAGCACAGCTGCTCAGTTGCTGATAATGAGAGGAAAGGAGAAGATTGGGAATGGACAGTTATGTTTCTAAACTGGGTTAAAAAGCTGTATAACCTTTCTAGTCTTCAGAGTGATTTGTCAAAATTAGCTAATAATCCTCTTAGAGTCACAGCAAAGGAAACGTATCTTAAAGTATGTGTGAAGGTGGTAGCTTTTTTTTCTTCTAAAAGGAGTTTGCTCTCTCAGCTGGAATTATCAAAGCTCTTGACTTGGGCTTCTTTTCTTTTTTTTTTCCAAACCCTTACCGGAGATGCAGTCTGTTGCCCATTAAAGCATGAGAGAGGGAGATAGAGGGGCTATAGCTCCCCATTAGCACTGTTTTATGACATGCATATTAACAGCTGCACAGGTCTCCAGTCATTTTGTAGTTGCATATATGTATGTATGTATATGTGTGTGTGTGTGTGTGTGTGTGTGTGTGTATATTTTTTTAAGAGACTGCAGTAATACTAAAGAGCCCAATCAGATCTGGAACCCTTTTGTCTTTTGAATGGGGACTGATCATAAACTTTACTTTTGAAAGGATAAGGGAGTACCGCATACTTTTGAAAGGATAAGGGAGTACCGCATACAAGCCAAATAGTCAGGCGAATGGTGATCAGATATCATGCTAATTGAGGAGAAAGCAAGAGTGGAAAATGTGACTGGGAGACTGTAAAAACTGAGATCTAGCTGTTAAAACAGATAACATCCCTGGAGTTAAACCAAAATGGCACTGCTTTAGTTTGGCTTGCTTCAGTCTGCTCATCCTGTAGCACTTTTCTGACTCAAAAAAGAAAAAAAAGTTGGGTGTGAGGGGAGGAGAAGGCAGCCTTTTGCTTCAGGTGAGAGAAAAATAATAAAAAAATTGTCATTATCTGCCTTTACTATTGGAGTATTAATTATGCCCCAGTTGAAGTAGAAGGGGAGGATAAGTCTTAATCTGTTGATGAAAGATAGGAGGCTGATAGGCTTTGGGTTCTTTTTCTGTATTGCAGGTATTCTATTCCAGACTCCTAGAAGAAGCTAACAGAGGCTCATTTCCAGCTGAAGTGGTTAACAAAATCTTTTCTAATATTTCATCAATAAATGCCTTCCACAGTAAATTCTTACTTCCAGAACTTGAGAAAAGAATGCAAGAATGGTAAGGGGTGCTTTACTGGTTAATAATACTAATGAAGTAGTGTCTGTAGAAATTCTGTTACAGGGCTCAGGTAGGGAAGATAACTTCATAATTAAGTGCTCCAGTCCCAGGAAGTACTGTGGGTAGAAGAACATCTGCTCTTTTACCATTCATCAGGATCTGATTCAGTAGAGGACTTGGCATCGTATGCTTAAAATAAAGGACATCTATCTCACTGAAGCCAATGAGATTACTCATGATTAAATACTTTGCTGAATTAAGGGCTCCAAGTAGAATTATGTGCTACTTGATGATTTTTTTGGACAGAATACAAAAATTGAGGTAAATAGCATGTATGTGTTAGTTTGTCTCAGTCTTGTAGGACATAACTTTTGTCATTACTGCTTTCGTGTCTGTGATAAAGTGGGATTCTTTTTTTTTTTTCTGTGTTTTAATTTTACCAGTTTGAAACTAAAATCCATGCTTCGGTCATTTTTTTCTTCTAGCTTTTCTTGATAAGACCTCCATTTGGGGCAGGCAAGAAGGATAGTTTAGGTGTAAATATGCTGTGTAATGGTCGTGTATTATTGTAGTGTCTTTGTTCTTCCTTGATGTACGTGATTACAAATATCTTTGAGCTCTGAAAAGTCTGGAGGTATTTAAATTTCTCTTATGGAATTGTCAAAACAAAAAAAAAAACAAAAAAGTCCTAAACCATTGCTGCTTCCCTAGTTCATTTGAGAAAAGAGAACACCTTACAAAAAAAAAAAAAAGGAGAGCATGTTTTTAGGGTAACTTGGTCCGGTCATGTCATCTCTGCAGCTGTTTGGCTCCTGGCCTTCCATGTAATCTAGTGCTTATCCAGATATCATTTCCAGACATACATTCATAGAACACCTTAGATGTCAAAAATCACAATAAAAAATTAAAGAATAATGTATTCTTGTGATATAGATGAACACTCTTAGATGATACAGTATTATTTTAGACCACAAGCTATATGTATACAGATTCTGTAAGATGGAAGTCCCAGTAGTATTTAAAATAGAAGAATGGATATCATATGCAAAAGTAGGGTATCCTCAAATTTTCTGTAATGCACAAAAGTAAATAAAACCTAAGCAGCATGAAATATAGCAAAGCTTAAACTTTTAGCTTGCATTCCTTGCACCATGACAGTGTAAGGTACCTTAATCCTCTTGTATTAATTTATTTTTAAAAATGATGGTAAATATGAACCTAAGCATTAGAATAGAGTGCATATTTATGAGAAGTGGAGTATAACTTATTATAACGATGCTTAAAAAGTTGCTTGGACTGCATTATGTCAGTGCTTTGTATATTTGAACTGAAATTTACAGTATGCACTCACAGAAGACAGGTTGCAATATCTTGTCTATTTGCAGAATGCCAGTTGCGCACTGTAAATGTGTGTAAAATTACACAGTTTTAGAGGCTGAAAAGTGCTTCTTTAGGTGAGATTTGACTACGGGTGCAAAGCTAATAGATTATATCCTAAGGATATGACCTTTCCCACATTGCTTGGAATAACCCCTCTGCTTTATCCTAGACAGATGAAAGGATGCAGAGGAGGGGAACAGTTCCTGATTACTGCTGAAGGACAGAACAGGGATAATTTCACCACTCCACCCCCAGTATCTGAAATGTGTCTGGCACAACAGCCTCTGCCAGAGTTCACTTTCCTCACCAGTTCCCGTAATTAGACATAGAAAATACTTGAATGTGTTCTATTGGTAGTTCTGTAGACTTTTTCTGTTATTTTTTAGGTAAAAATTGCTGGATAAAGGTTTCTCTGAGACTCTCCCTGAGTTGTGATTGGTTTTCAACAATAGATTTTGAAACTGGGAAAGCGGCAATTGTCCTCATTTTGCCTTGTTTCATTGTTGTTGAAATAACCTGAAATGGAGTTTTCACATCTAGCATCTTTCATCTGTTGTCTCACTTATAGATGGTGCTCAGTAAGTTCCACCCATAATACCACTGCCACACATGAATTTGATCTGAGCTGTTGGCTTAAGTTGGCATTCTCAATTGCCCCGTGTTCTTTAAATGTTCCGTAAAATCTTTGGTAAATATCTTGATAACTATTGGTAAACGATCAGCCTTTTTTAGAAGAAAAGGCAGTGGGTACCTAAATTTAGCAGGTGAAAATGAAATTCTGACTGGTAATTGCATCCTGAATGAGTTGAGCAACAGCTGGAGCTGAATATCTCTTGTACAATGGGTGGCTTGAAAACAGTAGAAAATACCTCGCTGCAATGTTTTTCCCATGGAAAGCAGAGCATAACAGATGACCCAAATCAAACAAGATATCCATCTAGCTCAGTCTTTTGTACCCAGGTATGACCAATACCAGGTGCCTGGGGAAGAATATAAGAACAAAGAGTCATAGCATCTTTTTTTTTCTTTTTTTTGAGCAAATTAGGCTGTTTCACTCTGAACACAAAGTTTTAGAATCCATAGTATCCTGTAGCAATTTTGGAGCTGACCTACTCTTTATGATTCCTTTTATTTTGAGTCTACAACTTAACATTTTGTTTGATGCCTGCTGGCTCTTACACTGGAAGAGGGAGCAAACAGTTGTTCTGCAGTCACCTTTGCTGTGCCGTGATTTCATAGACCTTTGCTTCAGCTGTTTTGTTGCTACCATGGCAGACTTAAATGAGATATTACACATCATGATTAGTAGCTCTGCTGTTTTATCCTTGAGGTTTTTGAAGTGCTATGGTGAATACCGTCTTGGTCAGGTAACAAAGAAATATGAAGTGTTTCTGTACACACAGAACAATGTGAGGTCCTATTCCTTGAGCCATATAATGATGCTGTCCTTGTTGCCAGGCAGCAATGCAGCACTAATTTGGTTCTATAGTAGTAGTTCTCTTTCCAGCCTTTCGAGCCAAGAAAACAATAACTGTCCTGGAGTAATGGCAATTAGTAGAATTTCAGGTTTTGGTTCATAGTGCATACTGTTTCCATAAGAAATGGACTAGTTATCTCTAGTCATAAGTCCATCAAGGGAAGAGTATATGATGATCTCGGAAGACTCTGACTTCCCCTGTCCTTCGTATTCTTCCAGAGCTCTTTGTGCTCTATGGACCTTGTTCTGCTTATCTGAAATGGTAATGGATTTCTGTTTTTCCAGCCTCAGAGTGTTTGGACACACAAACTCCTTGCACTAAAGGTAATTGTGAAAATGTAGCATCTCCATAAAGGGTAAAATCGCAGTGTTCTGTGTTAATTAGCTGCCATGGGTATCCAAGCAGCAGGCACAGCAAACTGTTCCTGCTTCCTGGTGTGTGACATTTTTGACATTTCCTTTAACATCTGTCTAGTAATAGTTGTGAAACGATTAAGCAGAAGCATTTATTTTTTATTCCAGTTTCTTTAGATACAAGGCAATGCTGCAGTCTTCTCTACTTCAAGCTTTTCAATTGCAAAAACCTTACAATGATTTAACCATGAAATGTATTTGAAAACTTTAATATCTGTTTTTATTTCTGGTGACCTTTAAAAAAGGATTCACACTTTCTTCGGTTCTGTTGGCATGATTTATATTTTATTTTAAGTTCAAAAATATGCTGCTACTTTGCAATAAAATGGCAACCCAGAGGAATAGTATTCAGTGGATGAAAGTAATGAATTTTTTGTTTTAAACTGCTAGCTTGCCTTTGAAAGTGTTTGTGTGTGTTTCCATGTCCAGGCTGGTTTAGCAAATACCTGAACCTAATTAAGGGTGGTGAACCTTGGTGACTGCAGAGGCACCTTCCCATCCTGCCTGCTCCCCTTGCCTCCTCGCCAGGCACAGCAGGAGCTCACACCTCAGCCAGGTCTCACGTATGCACCACCAGCCCCCCTCGGGCAGCCGGATGGGGACCAGTCTTTTGCAGCCCTGGGCTGAGACCCTCAGGTCTTTGGGCAGTACTCACTCTTCAAATAACTTTTCCCTTCTGCCCAGCTTTTCTCTCGGAGAAATAGTGTATTGGAGTGGACTGCTGAAGTAATTGCAGTCGCTTGCTTCACTTTTCCTTCAATGATTTAAAAAAAAAAAAAAAGCTGTGTATATAAGGTATATATGGTATATATGCTATATGGTATGTTAAACTACAATTAGGCCACTACCTCAATGCTGATGTTAGACTTCCAAAAATTCAGCAGTACAGAGTTTCAGCATATGTTCTTGAATATGAAACGTGAACCGTGTATTTCACATTGTTGTTCTAAGAGATGCATATTTGCCATTTTTACTTTTCTTCTGTGCATCAGGAGGTACAGCTTCTCCACATGTCCTCACCCCTCCATCAGTTAGCTCATCTTTTCTATTCTGTTTTATGGGAAGATGCTGCCACTAATTGGGAAGGCTGTGGGACAGTCAGCACAAAAGGCTGGAATCCAAGGGATTCTCACTACTTCATAGGTTTTCTCAAATAAATAATAATTGTAAAAGGCTGTAAATACCTGAACTCATATGAGGCATGGAAGGGAAGCTCTTTATACTATGGATTTAGACCTCAGACAAAACCACAGGTTAGATACTTATAGGATAGAGTGAGGACAAAAGAAGATAATGTAGTTTAAGGAACTGTAAATGAAGTAAATGGGGGTGTGTTTTGTAAACAAAGCCTGTCATGTTTTTCGTATATAGGTAACTTTTCTTTCTTTAGTGCTCTACATGATCTGTAAGCATTATAGATCATCAAGAAGGATACAAACAATCTTTCTGTGGTCATTTCGCTCATTTTTAATCACTTCATTAGAACTCTATATGAGGTGATCCCAAATGGAAAGGACTCTCTATTAAACTCTAAAAGCTATTCTCTGACATGTTTTATAACCATGTGTGACTCTTTTTCTTTCCTATTTTTTGCTCTGAGATTCCGCCCTCTTATTTTGCAGGACTACCACCCCCAGAATTGGAGATATTCTGCAAAAGTTAGCTCCTTTCCTCAAGATGTACGGAGAGTACGTGAAGAACTTTGATAATGCGATGGAATTGGTGAAAATGTGGACTGAACGGTCACCTTTATTCAAATTCATTATTCAAGACATTCAGGTAACGGAGAGAGTAATGTAGTGCTCCAAGTGATATGAGCATGTGTAAAAATGTATATGTTTGTGGGGGGAACAAAAGGATTAAAGAGAAATTAAATACCAAATCTCTTAGAATTAACGGTTGGTTTTTTCCACTTCGTACTGTATTCTATTTCTTCTCCGTCTCCCTTCATATGTGCACAAGCACGCATGCACATCCAGGCTTTCCATTGCAACCTAGAGGATCAAAGTATAAAGGTTGAAACAGAAGATTGAAAAATACTGCATTTTGTCAGAGATACCAAAAGTAAACACTATTTCAGTAAAAAAATTATATATCAGTGCAGAACTGTAGATCCTTGCTCTAAATTAGTAAATATTGTGTTGACTTATGCCAGTGCAGTTATCCAGAACAATAAGCTTTGAAAGTAAGTGTACAATCCTAAATGCTGAGCCAAAAAGATAAAGCTTAACAGCTGTGACAATGCATCATTCTTTTCAAAAGTGCTTTTTATTCCCTCTAGTGCTCCCTGTAGGTTTCTCTGGGAACTGGTTGGTATGTATCTTCTGACTGCAGACTTTGCAGATAGAAAAGGAGTAAGATCTTTCTGCTTAAATTTTACTGCACTATAGGTTATTGTGATTCTAAATGAAGGATGCTGACTATATGTATTTTAATGGAATCTTGTGATTACTTCTAAGAGTGTGGAAGTGAATATGCATCTTAAAATGCTTCTGGGGAGTTTTACATTATGAATAAAAGTGAAAGAAACCGTCCCCTCGTCAGATGGATAGATTAAAAAAAATATACCTTATAGCCCCTTGAAAAGTGACTTTCTTCTAACACGTGGTCAGGAGCTGTTCCTATTAATTCAGTTGTTAGTTCTCCTGTTTTCTAGCTATTACAAAGCTACGTTCAAATACATTGGAGTTTGGGAGGTTTCTTTTGATGGGACTTCTATTTATGAATTCTACTAGATACCTAGATAATTTTTTTTAACAATTTTTAGGAAAGAATTTCTGATTATTTGGTTTGCTAAAGTAGTTTTCTTTCAGAAGGGCTATAATGCATGTTTTAAACTACGTTATTTATGCTTTATCAATCACAATTTTTATTTTATTGTATCCTGGAAAAATAATATTTGTTACTTACTACATTTAAATGTGTTTATAATTTCTTAGAAAGAAAAAGTGTGTGGAAATTTGACATTGCAACATCACATGCTAGAACCAGTACAACGCATTCCACGCTATGAGATGCTTCTAAAGGACTACCTAAGGAAATTGCCTCAGGATTCCCTTGACTGGAAAGATGCTGAAAGTAACTATTTTCTAGATTTTAAAATAGCCATAATAAGGCATTAGTAAGAGGATACTGTAGATTAAAGCTATCTTCAGGAAATACAAGGTGAAAAAGCAAAGCTATTGTGAAAAGTATGGTAGAATTTCTTCAGTGAAGTTGTAAGATTTAGGAAAAGAACCCTTTGGATAATGGATGAAGTTAGTATAAAAACAGCCTTTGGTATTTTCCTCTTGGAGTACATAAGTTTGCTTTAGTTTTGAAATTGTGTGAGGGTTTGGATTATTTTGTTTGCTTTGGGTAAAATTGGGGTTTTCTTTTTCTTTGGCATTCTGTTTTGTTTTATCCACATATGAAATGTATGCCTCTTTTTTTTTTTTTTTTGAAATGGAGTATAGTGTGATTTTCTTTATAGGGGACTCATCTTTGCTTTAAAAAAAAATTAAAAAAAAGTGGAGCTAGGCTCAGTATTGTATTTTTTAGCTCCTGCAGGGAAAAAAAGCAGCCCATTTTAAAATATTTTCCTCTCTATATTTACACAACAACAATTAACAGTTAATTCCACACGTCATTCAGAATTACTTGCCAGGTAATTTTTGGAAATAATTGGTTGCTGAAAGCCTTTTCTTAAATATTTGTAATATGAGCTGTTTGGACAATAAACATAGTTTGGCGTTTCAGACTACTTTCTGAAAAGAGAGGAGAGAATCATGACTGTCCACATCACAAAAAAGTGGTTCTAAGTATTGAAGCTCACTTTAAAGTAATCTGCAATAATTCCCATGTGACCTTTCCAGATTATTATTTCAGTTTGACCCTGTGCTTTACACTTTACTTTGGTTACTTTTGACTGATGATTTAAGAAATATATTGAGTGTATAGTTTACGTAAAAGTTAAAAATATCATTTTGTAGAATGATCCATTGGTCTATGTAATACACAAATATGTGAAAATGCAGAGTTTTGTTTTTGATATTTTTTTCTTTGTCTTCCATCTAGAATCCCTGGAAATTATATCTACTGCAGCAAGTCACTCTAATAGTGCAATAAGAAAAATGGTAAACAATTCTTGTTTCTTTGTTCATTTTTTAATATTGTATTCAAGTATTTAGTAAAGCTAAGAAATTCTGTCAGTTGAATTTTGCCAGGAGTGGGAACTGCAGATCTTCCCTAAAATGGCAAAAATTGTTTTCCTGGGTCCAAACGATTGCTGCTACTTACTGTATTTTTACAGCTCCTGGGAATGATAAAATTTGGCATTGCACCTAAGTCTCTCAAGTGGAAACCAGGCAAACTAAGTTCCTTTCCTGGCTTAAAATAGCTGACAACATATAGCACTCTTGACCTTGTTGCATCTGTTCCTGTAAATGGAAAGATAACGTTCGTAAAAAGTTGTCAATGTTTCTCTACTCTATACAGTTGGTATGATTGGTGTTTCATTAAGTATGTGAGATGTTTTGGACAAGAAATAATGCATGTTGTATGTATATACGCATTTTTAAATATTATCATGGAGATTACATTTGTAGAATTATTCGTTAACATATCAACTATGTATGTATTTTCAAAGCTAACATTCTCCAGACTTACACAAGGTCCAGACGTTTCATTTGCACATGGGTAAAGATCTCTATGTTGTTAAGTTTTCTAACTGTATTTTCACTGAAAAGGAGAATCTAAAGAAATTGTTGGAGATATATGAGATGCTGGGAGAAGAGGAAGACATTGTCAACCCTTCAAACGAGCTGATAAAAGAAGGACAGATCCTTAAACTTGCTGCTCGCAATACATCCGCTCAAGAACGTTATCTTTTCTTAGTAAGTATGGTGGCCTTTATTTGCATGAGTGGCTTTATACTTTTCTAGACTTCAAAGAACTACCGAAGAGAGAGGCGATATCCTCTTCTGGTTGATGTCAATGAGCAGCCTTTCCACTGATAATCCTAGAGCTCAAGCAAACCCTCTGCTGCTTGTAGAAAGACTTCAGAACACCACTTTGAACAGAATACATGGTTTTAAATACGTGGAACCAGTGTCCAGCAACTTGCTTTTAAATGATGGACTGCTGCCTTTAAATGCTGATCTGGAGCGTGAGAACTGGGCCTTTCTCATGAAACTGAAATGTAAAAGCTTAGGATTTTAGTCCTGATAGATTGTGTGTGTTGGGGTCCAAGTGAGCCTCGTGGCCCTGTATACTGGCCTCAGTATTACAGTAAATCATCCTCATTTCAGATGCCCATGTCTTGTCTTAGAACTAACAGACTACAGCAGTGCATTGATTTTTTGTATGTGTTATTTTTGTTTGTTTGTTTTTGTTTCCAGCTCCCTTACAAAAGGCTTGATATAGTTCATTGCTTCCCATACTAAAAAACTGCTAGTATCAAGTTTGGGTTTTTGCTTATGAGCCTTCAGCATTGCATGTCTTCTGGTTAATAGAGGCCTGCTGAGTTCTTTACTAATAATGAATTGTGGAGGCAGAATTTGTGATTATTTGTGCTTCAGACAACATAATAAATGGTTGAATAGTCAGACTTTGAATGGAGCTAGATAGCTGATTAAAATGCCATGCACTTTATATGACAGGTGACAAGTTCAAGTGTGGTGTATCTGTGATACAGACTAGACAATAGGCTAGACAGTATTTCTATCACATATGATTTAAATGAAGTTAATTTCTCTTTTTAATAGTTAATTATGAGAAAAAGTGTTAACCTCTATAGAGCTGATTTTATATTTGCTTCTAGGCTGAGGCTGTAGACATTTAAACATTATCTTAAAACTAATTTTAATAAAGAAATATATCTATGTCCTGCTTTTGTAATTTTCCTTTAATTTTGAGGGATTCAATAAAAATAAAACATAAGATAAGTTGTTTTTTGAATAAATATATTGAAGATAATCCCCTTCAAATAATAGTGGTTACAGTTTCTACAAAACTAAGTGCTTTTGGTGCAGGATAAATATCAATGTATACACTGAAAAAAAAGGGTTTTTATTCTGCAGTTCCAAATAGTTTCTGCAGAATTGAGACATGAGAATGTTTTAACAAGAGATTTACAGTGTTATAAAATATCCACTCTAATTATCAACTCTAATATCTAAATATCCACTAAAACCTCCACTCTGCAGTTGATAATAAACATTAGGAAGACTGCTGTATATATAGAATATATATATGCATTGAGACTGACCTTTAATTTTATTTCTAAAACCCAAGAACAAATAAGAAAAATCAGTTCTCCCGCGTTTGAGCTTTGGTTTTCTTGTCTATCAGCTGAGCAGAACAGAACCTGCTTTCTCACCCACCAAGTTTACCTTTGCGATATTGTCCAGCTCAGTAGAAACTGTGGCTGTATCTGTGTTTTTGTTAATGGAAAGCCATATGTTTTTTTTTTTCCCCCCTTCCCCAGTTTAACAACATGTTGCTCTACTGCGTACCTAAATTCAGCTTGGTAGGATCAAAGTTCTCAGTTCGAACCCGAGTTGGCATAGATGGTATGAAGATTATAGAGACTCATAATGAAGAATATCCACACACTTTTCAAGTGTCTGGAAAAGAGCGAACACTGGAGTTGCAGGCCAGGTAAGGGAAGTCTGTTACCTAGTTTTTGGAGGATTAAATACATACACACACAAGATTGGACTAACAGACTTTGAGAAAGATAGAATGGGTTTCATCTTAATATCAATGCTTTGAAAATAGCCTAGGCTGCTATTTTCAAAGGATAAATTATCACTGTTTTTGTATTTATTTATTTATGTGTTAGTGACATAGAATCTCTTGAAATGTAAGATACAGCTACAATGTGTAGCACGTTGCCTTGCAGAAACACCTAAGATGGCTGTGAGTGGAGCTGGCTGGAAAACTGCAAGCCGTGTACCTAGCTGCTGCCAAGGCAATCTGGCCGAAATCAAGTGCTTTTAATCAAGTGCTCTGGGAAGCTAAGTGTGTTAGTTTGGGCAGTGCTGCTGCCTGTAGGACCCGAGCTACCATGGTACAAATGGCTTTGTTCACCTGAGGGCACCTCCACACAAAAAAAGCTCTTCCTCCTACTCCAGCGGGGTTAAGTCCACAGAACGTAGCTGTCTACAGTGGTAGAAGGGCACTGGCTTTCCTCTGTCCCTCAGGCCTCCTTCTAGTCTGCTTTTCTCCCCTGGTGCTGGGTATCACCCTCGCCTTGGAAGGAAGTTCTTCTTTTAGTTCTTGAATCCTTTTCCTGCATTTGCACTCTTCTGAATGGTACTTTTCTGCTGTACTTATTAATCCTGTTATCCTCTTGCCACTGCTGGGTTATCCTCCTGTTGTTCTTTTTGGGTTGTCTAGATTCAACTTTTCCTGTCAAGACCAGCCCACTTCAAATAAAAGTAGGGTGCATTTTTAGCTCCACCTGTGCTGCTGGAGCTTCTTAAAGACCCTGTTCTTAGCAGTCAAGATTTCATTGCAGAGAGGCAAGGATTAAATAAGCAGGAGGATGTCTGTTCTGTGGTGAAAGCATGTATTTGGGGATAAACTAGGGCTTGCAAGCTATTTTCCTTTATGGGGAAAAAGTTTACAATATTTAATGAAAGTAACAGCAGTGACTATAGAAACATAACCGCATATAGAAATTTAGCTATGCTATGATTGAATTTGAAATTATATATAACAATAAATATATACTTTGGAACATGGCAGAAAACGCTTTCCATTAAGGTCTGAAAAACACACAAAAAAGTTTATTTTGTAAACTTTCCAGAATTATCAGTACTTTAAAGGGTATTGCATTAGTTCATTTAAGTGTGAGAAGAACATGTTTTCAGATTTTGTTTTATGAACTTTTTTGGAATGCATTAAGTCTATTCAAAATTTTGAAGGCGTAAGTACCAAGCTAAATCGTATTCAATTGGACTAGAATAATCTTGGTTAATGCATGAGTATTTAATGCAACCTATACCTTAATGGTCTTAATTCATGAGCTTGTATTCACTTTGTTGTAATGTTTAGTTTCCCCTTGATGTTTTCTTTACTAGGATACTTCTATTTATTTATTTTTCGGAACATATTTTGAGAGCATTTTCAGCTAATGGTTTTAAATAGCTGGTAGATAAGTCCTTTAAGAGACTGCTGATTTTGTATGACGTTTAACAACTCAGCTATTTTTTACGTAAGTTGGTAGGGAGAAGTATTTCACAAGCTTTTCCTGCCTCTTATACAGATGGGAAGGGGAAACACAGGTATTTAAGATTATAATTTTACTGCAAGTTGCTGTAATATTGCAAAAGAACATTTGAGGAGGCGTTTTTATTGAAATAGTGTGAGAGCTTGCTTTCACATCCTTCCTAGCAATCCGCAGAGAAATAAAATTTTGCATGTCAAATTTTTTCCACATCATTGTAAGTGTCCCTATTTGAATAAAGAGCCAGATATACTGTGGTGCTAGTTTGCATATTCCTGATTTAAAGTTTACAGATAAACTGTATTTGTTACCAGCATTGGCTAGTAGAGTGAAATAGCACTGTTACTTGTGGTATAATCCTGAAGATTTGAATGTTGAAGTCCTAGTGATATATTCTAAAGATAAATCTGTCATACAAGATCAGAATAGAAAATGCTTGCCCTGTCTTCTCTATCTTATCTGTAAATACCTCAACTGTACTTATTGATCCATTGATCCATCCATATCTGCCCAATGCATAAAACGGAAAATCCTGCTTTTTAGTTTATAGTAAATACTAAAGCAGAGTTTTCCTTGTTTTGGTTGGATACTCTTCTTGCCACTATAGGCAAATTTAAACAGCTAAAAACAGCAATAAGGAAATAATTTCTGTTGAGGAAGGGGGAAGTTTTAAGAGATGCATGGGAGAAATGGGTGTCAATATGTGAACTTAGTATATGAAATGAGGGAAGAAGAAAGCACCGGTGCCTAAATTATAGATGTCCTTCTTTCCTTTCTAACCTATGCTCCAAAAATCACTGTCTCAACAGTGTCTCAACAGTGAAAATATTATTACTACTCTTAAGTGCATTTACATTTATCTTTCAACTTGAATTCAGTGCTTAGTGGTTGCACACTTGTGAAACTTGAAGTCATGCTTTTTATTTATTTATTTTTATTTCCAAGTTGGACAGTTAATGTGCACTATTGTTTTACCTTATATACATGAGAATTGCTTCAGAACCTTGGCTTTTGCAACAAGTTGTTGATAGTGAGATAAAAGTTTCCTGAACTAGCTTTGGACTAACGTGTCAAATGTTTCTTTTAGTTCTGAACAAGATAAGGAAGAATGGATAAAGGTAAACTTATCTATATTCTATATTCTTAACTCTATTTTTAAATGCGTTTTCGCTGAAGCAATCCAAAAGTAATACTGATATTTTCTGGCTGTAGCTTCCCTTTGTTAATCACTAAATGGTCAGAATGTAGTCAGTCTATTGTAAACGTAGTATGTTTGAGGAATTTCTCCCTTGTTTCCTTAGGCGCTTCAGAACACTATAGAAGCTTTTCAGCAGAGGAATGAAACCTTCAGAAATGCTATTGCTAAAGAATATGAAGACATGCCTACTGAAGTTTCTGTAAGTTGTTGTTGTACCTTTGTAAGCTTCTTAGTACCCATTTTGTTTTTGTATAACTGGAAAGAGCATATTGCAAAAGTTTGGCAGGAGCTTCGCTTTCAAGCTCATCATTCTCGTAGCAGAGGAATTGCACAGTAGTCATCTTGTTAGTAAGTATTTTTCTTCATAATGTCAAATCTTATAAACAAGCCTCTTTTTCCTGAAATGCATAATAGAGTACCCTTTCAGTGGTGTGTAGTGGTTTCTGACTGGGTTCTTTGTTATTTCTTGCATAGAATTCAAAATGCATCTTGAGTTGCATTTTGCCATTTCCTTTCCAGAGGAAGAGAATAATTATTTTCTCTATTAAAAGTACTGCACAACTGGCTCTTTTTCTTATCCTCTCCCTCCTTCCCCCAGAACGCTGAGCTTGGGAAGAGAGCACCAAGGTGGATACGCGACAACGAAGTAACCATGTGCATGAAGTGCAAAGAGCCCTTCAATGCACTGACAAGGAGAAGGCACCACTGTCGAGCATGTGGACATGTAAGTGCAAAACCCCTGCTGCTGTAGCTGGTGAGCAGGTCCTAGACAGGTCTAAGCACCTAGTTGCCTTCCGGTGGCTGCTTGTTATGCTGCAATTTATTGCTGAGCTTATGGCTGAAAGTAGGAGCTGTGTATAGCAAACCACAATGGGGTCCTCTGTCTGGTTTGGTTGGCAAAACCTATGGTAAATCAGGAAGTAACCTGCAGCAGAGGAAGATGCACATTTGTGCTGAGGGTCCCAAACATCTGGACAGATTACACAGTTTTCAGACTGGCTTTACTGATCATCACAGTTTCAAGACCATGTCAAACTAGCATAAGCCAGTGTTATCCATGACTGCACTGGCTGCTCCGTGATCCCGTTCGGTCACTCCCTCTCTCCTCTTTGCAAGCAGTCCATGAAGCCATGTGGTTCACACCTTTGTCTTGGGTTAACCTGGATCTGGGCTCAGTGTGCAGCTGTGTAAATAAATGTGAAGCA